ATAGCTAAGAAAATTAATTGTGCATGTCATCGTGCCTTAATGCAAGCTACTGGAACTTCACGCATCGTAATTAAAAATTCGAGTAATGACATTAGTGAGTATTATCAGAATTATGCTTGGTTAAGTCAACGAGCAATTCTTGCCGCAAAGGATAATGATGTACACGCACTGAATTCACGCACGCACCATTCAATCAAAAATTGCTGGCGATTTGGTGACATACCAATGATTCCGACTGGTCTTCCGTTTGACTTCAAACGATTGCAATTTCCAGTTCGCCTTGCGTTCGCAATAACAAGTCGCAAGGCCAACCGCTTAGTGTTTGCGGGATAAATTTCAAATAGATTACTTAGAAAATCATTGTTTTTCACATGGGCAGTTATACGTTGCCTGTTCACGAGTTGGAAAACCATCCGCTTTGTTTGTGTTAATGTCAGACAAAAAAAACAAAAAATGTGGTTTACCAAAGAGCACTTCAATGAAACGGCTAATTTGCGGATTCACTTTCATTTACTTAGAGAAGTACAACTAAAAAACACTTCATTTTTGTAATCGAAATAAATTCATTATTGTTGTATAATAAAATCAAATTTTTCCTTTTCAAATATAAAACAAACAAAAAATTTCTTCATCTTTCTCACGAAACCATCTGGTGGCGAAACGGAGTTCGTCGGGTGTGCTAGTTAATCATATATGTATCAACACTTTTATCATAATTGTTTACATCATTAATAGGCTCTTTGGCGTTATATATTATATTATATGAACGTTTATTGCGTTCGGAAGTCTCTTGAACTAAAGCTTCAAATTGATCATCATCCAAAATATTATTGTTGCAAGAACTTTGATCTTTTAGTGCAGCTATTTCTCGTTGTAGCTGCATTAACATACTTTTGATGTCATTAAGGTCATTACCGAGATTAGCACATGCAGTGCAATTCCACATTATTCCTTTTTTTGATGATATTGCTCGAACATCAGCCAAGCTCAAATTCACGCATGAATACTTAAACTAAGTTTTGCACGAAGTACATGTCACCATCTTGTCAAAGGCAACTGCAACACTACAGCATGAACACGTATTTTCTGAATTCATGATTATATGCTTATTACACTTATTTAAGCTATGTTTACAACAATATTCAAGAATTTTATGATTAGAAAATACATATAATAAATTCAAAATATTTTATATGATTTTCAATTTATGCAGAGTTAAAGCAAGAATTTTATCATTAAGCGTAAATATCCTTCCTTTTGGCTTTTTCGTATGTTCTATACGAAAAAGTATGTATAAAATTACGAGCCCTCTTATTTAATGTTGCTGGGAGATGAGCAAATTTTCAGCACATTTGAGACTTTCTTGTAACTTCTGCCTCATTGTTTTTTTGTATATTTATTCTCCTTACTTCCTTTCTCAACACTTTTGTTATACGGTATAAATTTTGTTCTTTGCATGCCTGGTCTCCGCACTGCTTATATCTTGAGTTACGAATTTCTGTTGAAAAAAATCACTAGAATTGGTAAATTAAAACACTGGATGGCTTGTTAATATTATATATTCAATAGATGTTTACTCTTGGCGGTATGTAATGTAAGAAAGTGTATCTTATTAGTTCTATGTACAAGTTGCGAAAGGTTATGTGAATCGCGAACATTGCGATTGACATACACGTTACCAACATATAGGACGCTGACGCTGACGCTTTGTGCTAACAGTACGCACGAAGCGCGCGGTTTTTAAAGTGTAAGAATGAATAATTTTGTCCATGCGCCCCCGCGATGCAAGCATCACGTATTATTATAAAGGAAGTAACAAAATTATTCTTACAATAATCAATTATCTCAAATCTAACAAAATATCAAATTAAAATGAGAATAATATAACAATAATAAATATAATACATAGTCATGGTATAACACAATAAAATAATGTGCATAACAAGAAGACTAATAATAGTGTGTAATCAAAATGAGTACATCAACAGTGGACTGTATAATCTAAAATAACTAGCTGTAAGTGGAATTCTGTCTTAAGGCAATTAAGGCATCGTGCCTTAAGGCAAATTGCTGGAACTTCCCGTAGCAAAAATTATTATTTTTTTAAAAACGATTAACATTTTTGAAAAAAACTTACTTTGAAAAAATAAGATTTTTGAGAAACTATAAATTGGACAAAAAATTACTTTTTTTTGAAAAAAAAAAAATTAAAAAAAAAAATAATTTTTTTAAAATTTTTTTTTGAAAATTTTTTTTTTTTATTTTTACATATTGTGGAAGATCTGAACTTTCTTTTCAAAGCAATCGTACTGCTTTAACTGCATAGGGACAAAATATAAAGCGCGTGAGCTCCGCGTCGCTGTCTAACGCATAAGCATTGGTACGGAACCCATAGGAATGTTAACAAAATGTATACTTATTGTTAAAATCTCTATAAAATATCTGATAATTGATGTGCATACACGTATGTCTAATGATCATTTTTGACCGCCAAATGGCTCATTTTTTTACTTTTTCCTCCATACCTCCGAAACCGCTAGACCTACCTTCATGAAAAATTTTATCGATTCTTCATCTTGTCAATATAAGTGAAATGTTTTTTGAATTATTCAAATCGGACGCTCCGTTCTCTTAAAAACTGAGTTACCGTTTTCGGCACTTTTTGCCCCGTATCTTCGGAACGGCTAGACCTGCCTTCGCCAAAAACTAATCAGCACGTCTCCTTATCAATACGAATCGAATGTTCTTTGAATTATTCAGATCGGTTGATCCGTGTTCCCGAAATCGTCGACGAAAATTTGTATCCGCACATACATACACGCACATACATACATACATACATACATACATACATACACACACACAACACACACACACACACACACACACACATACATCCATTTTTTTAAGGTATGCCAAAATGTTCAGAAACCTCTGAAACGTAAAAGATATATAAAAATTTTCATTTTTGATTTTTTTGCGATTACTATAACTTGCCCTACGGGAAGTTAAAAAATCAAAATTAATATATATGTAATCAGCAAACATAATGCTAAACATAATTAAATCTTAATAATAAAAAAAATATAGTATGCTAAATAGCAATTGAACTAACAACTAATATTTTTCCTAATCTAGCTAATATCATTTATTGATAATTTATTACTCTTAATCTATCGTAGCCTGAATTAAAAAAGGAATATGTAAACAAAACAGTAAAAAAGAACAAATGCAGGTAGTGACTTACAATCTATTGACAGGGTAGTATAACAATTTTTGTATTTGGACGAGTATATGTCCCACTACTAGTTTTGACTGTCACTACGCTAACCTTGCCATCTTGACCTGGCTTGGTGTCTATTACACGCCCAACGGGCCAATGTATGGAGGCAAATTGTCCTCCTCCAACAACACTATTGCATTTAAATAATATTTGGTTAGACCTGTGTCCATTTATTTCTTTTTTGCAAGTCATTAAGGTATTGTTTTGACCAAAGTGACCAAAATTGGTCACGGATAGCTGATATCTGTTGAAATAACTTAATTGCCTTAACTTTGGATGCGTCACTAAAAGGTTCTGGAAAGGCTGTTAATGCACTTCCAATAATGAAGTGCTCCGGACTGATGTAAGCTATATCGGTGCGCGTCATCCGTAAGGGCGAGAATAGGTCGAGAATTTAGTACAGCTTCGATTTGGTATAAAAGCGTTGTATATTCCTCAAAATGTGAGGCAATGAGACCCTATAATCTTCTAATTTGATGTTTTCATCACTTTGATAGATCCTTCCCATAATCCTCCAGAATGAGGAGCATGGAAAGGCGTGAACTGCCATGTAATACCTAAATTTGATGACGATTAAGTGATTAATTCCCCTCTTGACTTATCAGACTGAAATAATAACGTAGCTAATTGCCGCAATTCAGACTTTGCGCCTACAAAGTTTCTCCCGTTGTCGCTGTGGATGACTGAACAGCACCCACGTCTTGCTATAAAACGACGTAAGGCCGATAAAAGGCGTCTGTTGACAATCCAGACACTAACTCAATATGAATGGCCTTAGTGGCCATACAAACAAACAGGGATATATAGGCCTTAATGCGAGGTGCCTTCCTCAATCGACTAGCTCTCAATAACACTGGCTCTGCAAAATCCACTCCTACAATCTGAAATGGCCTGTAAGCAGTGACCCGGTCTTTTGGCAAATTTCCCATTAGCTGCTCTGCACAAGTAGCCCTAAACCGAGCACACTTTACACATTTGTGTATTATGCACTTGACAGTATTGCGGCAATCTATAGGCTAATATTTTGATCTGATATTTGCTAAAGTAGTCTGGGTACCAGCATGTAGCAAACGTTCATGCTCTAATTGAATGAAAATGTCAATGGCCAAATTGGCCTTTGGTAAAATAATTGGATGTTTTTGGTCGTAACTAATGTCCGCATTCTCTAGCGGACCACCTACTCTTAGTAAGCCTTCGGCGTCCACAAAGGGATTTAACGCCTTCAGCTTACCTAAAGATGTACTGGACAACTCACCGGACATCAACTGATCAGCAATGTTACCAAAAACTTTCCTTTGGGCTAGGTAAAAAATACGTCTGGAGGCTACCCTTAAATCGTCAATAGACAAGATATCTGATACCGGTTGTCCATCTGGTTTTCGAGAGCGAAATATTTTGAACCACCGAAAGCAATATGCAAACACCCTGACTATTATTTGCCGATACGTTTTTTATAATATCTGCCACAAAATAAATTGATGACACCTAAAGCGAACTAGAATAGAAAATAAATCCTGTTGCAGCTTCGGTCTGTGTGCAGAATATTATTTAAAGAGATGCCTGAAGTTGACTTGACCGATGCGTCAAACACTACACTAATTTTGTCAAAATTATTATCTTTGACCACTGGATGATGCGGCAAGAAATAGTACTTATTCTTAGCAGCTTTCTCCAGTGTCAGCATCATCTCCTCAGCATGATCTAAGTCGATGTAAGCTTAAATAAAATTGGAGTAGGCTGTGAACAAGGTACTATCCCTGGCAAACCCCCTTCCAGGTTCAAAAAATCTATATTTAGCAACAGCGAATGACGACCCAAGCTTATCTATATGGTTATCTAAAAATGGCAAAGCCACGTCAGACTGCCCATTCTCAAGCCTAGCTACATTTGCAACGAAATGATCCTCACATGCTTTGTCTGACCCAGTCATTGTATAATAAGAGGATACCTCCTCTAACTGCCAGAACTTTGTCAAACTATTATAAAGATCTCCATTGGATATGAAGCCAACATGTGCACGGCTCTGCATTTCTGATGTGTATACACCAGAAATCAGCCTCCCGAAGCAACTTTTCCTAAGAATGAGAAGATGATTTCCTAAGCGAATGCACCCCTGCTGTAAAACTTCAAAATATAGTTCCACTGCAATCAGCATGTCAACTACACCTGGAACGTTAAACATGGGGTCTGCTAGCGAAACATGGTCTGGCATCTTCCAGCCATCATACTATATATAAGCAGACGGTAATAATTGTTTAATTCTGGCCACACAATTGATAGTGCGCGCAAACTCCTACCCTTGACTTTATAATCAGCTTGACAGACTTATCACAAAGCGCACTCTGCTCCTGTAACATGCTTAACTTATGAAATGACGAGCTGACCGGACATTTTAACTTAGCAAGTAAAGAAGTTGTTATTAAATTAATTTGCGAGCCACTATCAAGCAAAGCCCGTACCTTATGTTGGGTTCCATCCGAGTCAATAACAACAAGAGAAACCGTTGATAACAAAGTCTGCAGAAATATTGGCCATATATATTGTGCTACTATAAGTGCTGGGCTTATGCTCAGGTTCCTAATTTAGGTACACAATATCTGGCAATTTCACATCTATCGAAGTGTTAGATGATTTTATAGCCGGTTTTTGATGGCGGTCAATAATAGTTTCAATATTCGCCATCATATCGAAATATAAATCAGAGTACCTTAAATATTCTGTAGTGTACACACCTGGGGAAATGCTATCAAGCTGTACATATGTCTCATCCCAACTATGGCATCGTTCCACAAGTTTCTGCTTTCGAACTGAAAGTGCCTTAATATTATCACCACTCACGGAGTTCTGCTATGAATTTGTGAATTGCATCAAATGACGCTTTATCATTATGCACAATTATTATTTAACTACAAAAATATTGCAAATATTACAATCACAAACCGTGACAAAATACCTTAGTTTACTATAAATAATGTATGCCTTACGGTAAGATTAAACAGAAACTAAAATGACTTAATATGATCTAACTAGGTGACTGATGAGTGATCTGCGACTCCTGTGTTAGTACAACCAGTCAGCAATACAGCAACAGTCTTTCACTTTATATATTATAAGTGAACAATAAGTTTAATTAATGACTCACGCCCTCGTGTATGTATTACACGAGTCAATAATAATCTTGATCCAATCTCCACGTGTGATTTTAGCCTCGATATCCTCCCCAAATAGTGTGGAGATTTGCCAATTTTTACGAACTCGTCGATCTGAACAGCGTGGTCCAATACAAGAATTTCACTTGGACAGCGATGTGAAGCCTAACCTCAAAGTCCGGAACCCCCAGATCTTCTAAAGTCACGATTTCAACTGCTTGGCCGTGTCGATAAAATTATTATGCTCTCCATGTTGTTTACGAACGGCTTAGATCACTTCTAATGCCGCATGCGTAACCAAACAATACACGCCGGTAAAATACTAGATATGTAAAAACTTTTCTCACCACAGTGTATAAAAATCTCAAAAATAATACTTGCACTGGTGAATATCCGTGAGAAAGACCAAATTATGGTAAATTAAAACACTGGATGGCTTGTTAATAGTATATATTCAATAGATAGGTATATAATGTAAGAGAGTGTATCTTATTAGTTCTATGTACAGTTGCGACAGGTTATGTCAAACGCGAACAGTGCGATTGATATACACGTTACCAACATGCTAACAGTACGCACGAAGCGCGCAGTTTTTAAAGTGTAAGAATGAATAATGTTGTCCAAGAATCATTTGCTACGAACATAAATTGTAGGATAAAAATTTTAAATAACACACCTTTCAGGGACGGTTTTCCTTCTTTAGTTTCGACTTTCTTGCTACAAGATGGCTCAAACATTCCTTGTGTCTCTACTATTGTAGGGTCCAAGGAAGCTACAATGAAATTTTATATTAGAACAATACAAATCGATTAAAGCTTATGTAATGATAAGTGAATTGCTTTGGCTGCCCATGTCATTCATGCATGCAATACCCGAAACCTTCAAAAATGTTTATGCCATATCCTCACTCTTGCGTATTGAAACACCTAGTTCTACATAAGGATATTTTTAAGTAAACTCATTATAATTCATTTCAAGAGTATATGTAAATATATTACGGTATGTGTTTCTATCTAGAAGGCAGTTTTGTTCTGCATATGGATCTCCACTGAAACCTAAATAAGAAAACATTAGTGTAAAAATGTTGTTGCGAAAATTATATTATATTGAATCGCCTACCTGACATGTTTAATGTAGGCAATGCATTAGGTTTTAGTGTAGTGCCTGTTATATTTCTTTTGCATATACTTGCAAAATGTGCGTCACACACGAACCGAGACCTATTGCAACGCAAAGGTGTTAATTTCTTTAGATCAGGATTATTTTGTTCTTTCCAGCCAAATAGCAAACATCTACAACATCCAAAACAATATTTATTTGTAATTAATGTTTGGTTATTTTATTCCTAATACGTACTTTGTCATTTCTCGCTGCAAATACATGCAATTTTGCATTTTTTTTAGTATTAGTGCACCCTGGAACATAACACTTTGACATATTGCTTGCAAACCAATCACCTAATCACTGATAAACTCAAATGAATACAACGACTCATCTACGACAACGACACTCATGAAAATGACAAACGTTCTCGAAATTGTTTGATTGCGTTGAAATTCTTACCCGATGAGTGTCAAATCGCTGCAAGAGCGCATCTAGGGAGAGCAGCTCTAACTAAAACCGAGCTACAAACTTTTGTTCGGAGATTACAGGCCATGGCTCCAACTGCCTCGCCGCTAGCATCGGTTTTCAAGATGAATGGTTTTTCGAAATCAGGATACTGTACCTAGTATGGGTGCACTAGAAATTGCACTCTAGAGAGTATTGAATGATATTTTTTCTCGAGGACCCCATTTCCATGCCTCATTTTTTCTTAATAATACATTCAATGGATTTGCAATTTTTGCAAAATCTTTTATAAATTTCCTATAATAACCGACTAAATCTTGTTTCTCTGGGGTTTCTAGGAGCAGGAAAGTTTTGGACAGCCGTACCTTTTCAGGATGGGGCGGTGTCGCCTTTTTCTGATATAACATGCCCAAGATACGTTAACTCACGCCTCAGAAACTCACATTTTATTGGCTGTTACCATAAATGTTGAATATCATCCATGTATACTAATCTTTTGAGTCCTTCAACACCGGCCAAAACCAGGTTAGTTAACCTCTGTAACCCGCTAGGAGCATTTTTAAGACCAAATGGCATACGCTTGTATTGAAACTTTTTCCCTATAACTGTGAAGGCTATCTTCGTCCAATCCTTCTCGTCTAATTCTACCTAATGGAATCCGCTAGCTAAATCTAGAGTGGAAAAAAAACTAGAATTTCCTAGTTGATCCAAGATTTTGGCCACATTTGGCAGAGGATAAGTGTGGCTGACTGTAATTTCATTCAGTTTTCTAAAGTCGACACAGACGCACCATCTCCTGTTACCATCTATATCTTGCTTCTTTGTTGCAACGACCAGAAGCGGAAAATTTCATGG